ATTCATTCCGTCGTCTCTCCTCCGCTCCGTGGACCTACTTTGTACACGCACACGCGCGTACTATACACGGGTTGCACGTGCAGGATGAATTCCGCGTGGAGGGGACACGTATGCACGCCGTTGTGTGCGCCGTGTATCTCTCTCTTTCTTTCTCTCTCTCTTCTTTTTCCTTCTCTGTCTCTTTGCTCCCGTCGCGGAGAGAAGCGGCATTCATTCGGCTTGAACAAGTCCGTCTCTCTTGGTCCGCATCTATGTCTCTCTCCTCGATCTCTCCCTCTCTCGCCTTTCTCTATTTCCCTCCATCGCTCGCTAGCTCTCTGTTTTTCGATTTCTTCCTTTATCGTCTTATTACATTTGATCTCATAGATTGCCTATTTTTCATATCTCTATCTCTCTCTTTTTTACGTAATTATTGTATATTTATTTTTATTATACATTATAGTTTTTATTTTATAAGAATTTTTTCACGTGATGAGAGAGAGAATCTTTCCTTTTCTTTTTATATCAGTTTTATACTGCTTTTATATATTTAGATTTGATATTTTTATATCTAATATTATTATATCTTTATTTTTCTATCGCCATTATTTTATATCTATATGTATATAATTTCTTTTTACTCTCGGAAAGATTCTGCCGAAAAAATATAATAAATATCTCTTTTTTTCTTTGCCTCTATTTCTCCCTTCTGTCTTTACGGGCCAAAAGCCACAATCATTCTCTAACAAATACTTTGCTCAATAGGTTCCATCTTCGTTGCATTTTTGGCATCCCTAAATGTAAATCATTTAGCGAACAAGAAAAATACATGGATAGCAAAAAACGCTTTGTACGAAAAATTTAGAAATTTTGAGGTAACTGAAATTATTAATGATAACTGATAACATCCTGCGATAATATAATCTGGAAATAGATACATCTAGAAAGAAGAAAATTAATTGCAAAAATATCAAATTCAAAAGATATAAATTTGATTTGCGAAAATAAATTTAGTCATTTTTTATTAGCATGCATAAGCAAAAGAAAATACTCCGCATTGAAAAGGTAATATCATTGAATGGACTGATAATAAGAAGCAAGACGCGGAATATCAATGATAATACGCGAGCGCGTTCTCGTCACGGCTATAGAGACTTCATTTCGTTTTAGGGATTGTTCGAATAGCATAAATATTTATGCGCGTACGCAAGCATTACGCGCTTGCCAGCGCATTAACGAGCACAATGCACCTATATCGTTTCATATACATACCAACTGCTCAGGTGAGTGACGGCCGTCCGAGCGTGTGATGTTTTTCTCAGTTTACTTTACGGTTCTTCGGGGATGTCGCTTTCTTCCGTCATCGGTTCTGTTGCCTTCTGTATTTATATTTTTATATATCTTCTTAAGGACTAACAATATACAGGGTATCTCCGCTAAATCGTAATAAAATCGGCGACATGGTGTGACTCTTCTTGTGAAAAATATAAAATAATTTTTTTATTATTGTAAAAAATTTAATTAATTCTCTTCTATTTATTCAGGAAAAATCGTCTCTCTTCGCCGTACATTACGATTTACAGGATACGATGTATTTCATAAATAGATCGAAATGGACCGATAATAGTCTGTTAAATTATACGCATGAAGGGATTAATACGAAGAATTTTTTTTTTTTTTTTTTTTTCGAGAAAACGGCTGCGGTACCTACCTCGCGAGGGGGGCACTCGCTCGCGCTGCTCGCGCGGGGCACCTTCTCCCGCCAGGTACACCCGTGCCCACCAACACGGGCAAACGCACGCTCACACATGTGTACGCGCAACACACACGCACACGCACACACACGGAGATCTGTTTCCTCCTTGTACGCTCGACCGGTCGCAACACCGCCGCCGCGGTGCTCGTGGTGGTTCGCCGCGTTGCGGACCCCGTCCCGGCCCGAGTAGCAAGTCACCTCCGCTCACCTCGGCCCCGACTTCAGTCCGCCGCTCGGCTCGAGTCGTCGTGCAACACGAAACGCGCAAGCAGAGAGCAGGCAAGCGAGCCGGCTCGCTGTCGCGCGCGGGCCCCGACACATACGCACGCGTTGCTCCGTTCCCGATAAGACCGCGCGCGATCGCTATCATACGAGCGAGACAGGCTGACACACGTGATACGCGAATTATCGCGCGCGAATAACCAAAACATTCGTCGTAGAGTTTGGGAGAGGAATTTGAAGAGACGGATCGGAGTCTCTAATCGCGGAATATATATCGGAGCGACGTGTGTCTCGAGACGACGAGATCGTGAAGCGGTGGGCGCTGGGCGCTCGGCAGAGATTCCGCGGCCAGCTGCGCAGGCAGAAACGGAACGTGGTATTATGTCACACTCCCACGCGAGCGACGGCAGTCGCTGCCGCCGTCGCCGCTCCTGTTGTTGCTGCTGCTGCCAGGCCCAACATCCTCATCGTTTGACATTTCTGCGGGCGCGCAGCGCTTGACGGATCACGCGCTCCATTGTGGATGTTACGCTCGTTCCGTCCCGCCCTGGTGCATCTCGAGATCGTCGTGACGACATCTCATCACGAGAGACATCTTTCCCGAGAGAAAAACTTGGCGGGAGATATTCGGCAACGCTTCGAGGCAGAGACAGCACGGTTACATATCATTTTAATCAAATAAATAATTGTACCACATATCCGGTATTCTTCTTTTTCTTTCTCTTTTGGAAATTCGTTGTTATCAGAATGCGGTTTTACCCGGACCAATAATTTACAATTACGGTATGTGAACACGAGTGCTTTTAATGGACTTTTCTCCCATTTTTTTTTTTTTTTTTTTTTTTTCGAATGTTTTCGTCTCTGTTCGCGAGGCATAGCGCGAGACGGCTACGTCATCGAGATTGGTATCGATCGTATTATCGAAAGGGTAGCCGGTATGCAAGTCGAGCGAGTTAGCACGGCAACTGCCCCGCATCCTCTCTCGCGCGCGACTTGGTTCATAATCTTTTAAATATTCAATTTTGTACGCTCGGTTTTACATTCACTATAGCGTATCGGCCGCTACGCTAGACGAACTCGCACGTACACACATGTTTTAACTTATGCAAAAACAATTACACATTTTCAGATCGTAGATCTGATCCACACGGTTGATTGTTCTCGAGGATCTCTATGGATATTCTCGATTCGTCATTAATTAAACTATTAATTAAACATCTCTCGAGAAAAATCCTCGACAATATTTCCTTTCAAACGGATACTATATAAAGATTAATTTACGATGATATTGTATTCTCGATAAAATTCTCGTAGTCGAGAAAAAAATCTTCCGGACGGAGGATATAAAAGAAAATGCGCTCCAAGACTTATGTGTTAATTTGCGATGCATGATTTTGCGCGCGCGGAATAATTAACACATCCCCTCTTACACACTTATTTTACACGGGATAAAGTTCGACGTAACGAAGCGTCCGACATTAACGAAGCGTTAAAGCGAGGCAGGTGTGTTGCATTAATGTAGTAAGACCGGGAGGAATATAAAATCGCATAATCGCACACGGGAGAGGTCGTATTAGTAATAATAATGGGATAAAGATGCGATTTTTATACCGGCAGATAACCACTCTCGCGCGTAGTTTATATTTAGACTCGCGCTTAGAGTGAATTTATAGTCATTGCTATCGGGATCCTTTATGCACCGTCCCTTGGCGATATTGCGGTTGTGCCTACACTCCTCTACGCGCTTCTCCTCTAGGTCGATGGTTCTCAAACTTTTTTTGCTCGCGGCGCACTATTATCCCGCCGCAAAGTTGAGTCGCCGTCAGAAACGGGGATCATTTACCGCATTTATTTTTTTATTACGCAAACGTCTCTAAACATGAGACAAAATTTGTACAAAAGAGAACGAGATATATACATATGGTCTGCGATAATGCCGTAACGTTTAAATCTTTGAGAATCACTGCTCTTGACGTTAAAGAGAAAGAAAGAGAGAGAGTACAGTGTGCGTCTATATAATCTTTCTCGGCCTTTTTTTCACGCGCGTGTGATGACACCCACGTGGTCTTCGCCGCGACCTGGGCGCGCGCGCGCGAGCGATTCGCATAGAGCCACTAGCCAATATTCTATATGGCCGCAACCTTTCTCCTTCTCGTGTGCTAATCAATCTATGTGCTTCCTACGCTTTTACGATTACGTAATCGCGGCATTGTGCGAGCCTCGCGTGAAAATGAAAAAAACGCGAAATCAAGAATCCCGTGCCGCGCATTCCGCGAATCACCACGACGTACGAAACGCGCGGCCGGCGCGGCTCCCGACGTGCGAACCGCCGCTCTCTGGGGTCGCCGTGTCTTTACGATATCTCATATTCCAATGACATTTGCGGATACTTTCAAGTACCGGAGGGATCGACTGTCGAAACGCCGCGCTTACACGCTGCGCACTTTATTATTGGCGCGTTTCACCGGAGGCGATTCGAATCGCTCGCATTGGGCGGCGATTAAAATTCACTCCAATCAAATATAATATTGCATAACATATAATTAATGTATTCGACGTGCGTATAAAAAACGATCGTTAAATATTTCCGAGCCATTGTTTTACGCTCGATATCTTCTAGTATATATATCCGTCAATTATCGTCAAAACAATTTGAGAGCGCACTTTCTTCCCCCAATATTCCGTCGAAAGCTTATCAAAACTCGCCGCCTTGGTGCAATCTTTTTTTATATCTTTTCCCCTTCGTCGAATCTCCTTTATCCATTTTTCGTTTCGTCGCGCGCGGAAAATCTCGCGGCGATGGCGACGGCGGGAGCGCGGAGAAGATGCACGCCGCCTATGCACGGGCGGATCCGCGAGGCGGCTGCGGTACCTACCTCGCGAGGGGGGCACTCGCTCGCGCTGCTCGCGCGGGGCACCTTCTCCCGCCAGGTACACCCGTGCCCACCAACACGGGCAAACGCACGCTCACACATGTGTACGCGCAACACACACGCACACGCACACACACGGAGATCTGTTTCCTCCTTGTACGCTCGACCGGTCGCAACACCGCCGCCGCGGTGCTCGTGGTGGTTCGCCGCGTTGCGGACCCCGTCCCGGCCCGAGTAGCAAGTCACCTCCGCTCACCTCGGCCCCGACTTCAGTCCGCCGCTCGGCTCGAGTCGTCGTGCAACACGAAACGCGCAAGCAGAGAGCAGGCAAGCGAGCCGGCTCGCTGTCGCGCGCGGGCCCCGACACATACGCACGCGTTGCTCCGTTCCCGATAAGACCGCGCGCGATCGCTATCATACGAGCGAGACAGGCTGACACACGTGATACGCGAATTATCGCGCGCGAATAACCAAAACATTCGTCGTAGAGTTTGGGAGAGGAATTTGAAGAGACGGATCGGAGTCTCTAATCGCGGAATATATATCGGAGCGACGTGTGTCTCGAGACGACGAGATCGTGAAGCGGTGGGCGCTGGGCGCTCGGCAGAGATTCCGCGGCCAGCTGCGCAGGCAGAAACGGAACGTGGTATTATGTCACACTCCCACGCGAGCGACGGCAGTCGCTGCCGCCGTCGCCGCTCCTGTTGTTGCTGCTGCTGCCAGGCCCAACATCCTCATCGTTTGACATTTCTGCGGGCGTGCAGCGCTTGACGGATCACGCGTTCCATTGTGGATGTTACGCTCGTTTCGTCCCGCCCTGGTGCATCTCGAGATCGTCGTGACGACATCTCATCACGAGAGACATCTTTCCCGAGTGTTTTCCGCGGTGCGATAAAACAGCGCCGATCGACAGTGACTTGTCATCGCGAATCGTCGATTCGAGGAAGATTGTTCCCGGATCACACGCATCGTCTAACGGCTTTTGACAGGAAGAAGGCGACCAAGGTAACAAGAGAGAGAGAGAGAGAGGAGGGGAGGGAAAAAAAATCATTCGCGGTGCAAGCGCGCGTTTTCCACGATCGAAACTCGATCGTTCGGTGCGCGAGCGCGTAAGCGTCGTGCGGTGTCACGTATCGATATGGCACGCGATATCTACGACTCCGCTCGATTCCGCTGCGTATATCGAATCGTCTCGTCTCGTCCCGACTCGGCGCGGCGGATCGATCGTGACGCCGGGGTATGAAATCGGTAATGAGCTGTAAATCTCCGACGTGTACATCGAACCGCGTATGCGGGTGAGTCACACGTCACAGATACCGACGATACCCGCCGACACACGTGCGCGCACACATACGTACACATATAATATACGTAGACGGCACCTTCTCCTCGGCTTCGTATTCTTTTCCCTTCGCTAGAGAAAATCGAAGGAAAGGATAATAAGCGAGAAATACACTCTCTCTTACCCGCCGGCCGGTTCCGTGGTTGGCCGCGCGCGCGTGGGCGTAAACGAGAGAGAGAGAGAGAAAGAGACAGCGTACAGGCGATTTTCTGAAAAATCCACGGTGAAACCTTCGTTAACGTTCGGTTTAGACGGCACATAACTATCCGCGTGCCGTCCACCGCCCGCGGCACATAATCCTGTTTCCATCGAATCGATTCGACTCGAAAATCGTCAATGCGATAGGCGAAAGCGGCCGATATCGAGACGAGAAGCATTCCTTCAAAAAACTCTGTCTGAAAAAGGGATAACGACGATTTATATATTCTCGATAATTTAGCACAATTGCACAAATTATTGCGATCGTTCTCTCCGCGATCGCGCGTGCAAAATATCGACATTCGAATCGCTGACGAAGCAGATTTGTCCTTGTCACGATTACGCGAATGACTTCTGAAAATTCGCGATAGAATCGTGCACGCGATCGATGCGCGGCATCGTCTTACCGCGACTCGAGACGGCATCATGCTATTCTCTCGATTATGCTAATAATAATAGTTTCGTCTTGTCTTTAATGCGTGTAGGAATTCAACAATTATTGCTAAACTAGCATTTGCAAACTGATTTCAAAATCGAACGGAGGAATGTATTTTTCGAAAATTTATTCCGATAGAAAAAGATTTAATGTCGATGTTTTCTTTATCTAAATGTAATTCATTACACGTTTTTCTCTCTCTCTGACACGTGATATACAAATCTAAGCAAATTTTTGTCGCATTCTGCGCGTTGTGTTCGACAAGCTTCGTATAATTTCTCAGACGCATCGCGCGAATTACGCATAAATTAACTCTCCAGAATTCGATATTAATTCTCGAAACTTTCGAAACTTTGGCCCTCGGAATATTTTGCTCGCGGTATATAAATCAGGATTAACAAATCGAACGGAATGATTCGGAAACTGCGTACACGCGCTATGACATTAACAACAATGGCGTTTCGTCTCCTTAAACGAACCTTCTCTCCGAATCGCGAAAAACACCGAGATCGCGACATTAGAAAGTAACGCCGTAATATTGATTTATACTTCGTTGATTTATCAAGAGATATCCGTCTGTCTCGGTCACAATCCCTCGCAGCGGTGATGGCGCGTGCTCATTAACGGACCGCCACGTTCGTCACGATTACGCATGTTACGCGTGCCTATATCCGCGAATACGCGTACGACTCTACGCAATACGTCGAGTATTGTTGAGAGATAGAGAGAGAGAAAGAGAAACACGGGGTGGGGGCGACATACCAAAGTCGTCGCGCGCGCCAAACGAAAACAAACGCGACGTGTGGTGGGGTGAATCGTACAATAATAAAGTTAAAAGATAGATTTAAACACAACATTTTCTCGTTGTCGCACACATTCCTTTCTCGACTTTCTCATCGGCATCCTCGCGCGATGTATCGATCTGGCATTGTGATATTATTGCGTTATGCGTACGTCTCGTACGTATCGTGTGTGCATTTGTGCGAGTGCACGCGGATTGAGACCTCCTCCGTTAGCGACGTGTTATGCCTTCGCGTATACGCGCGACTTTATGATTTTCACCGCGTATGTACACGCATATTATACATATCCGTCGGCGAACGCATTGTGCCGTTCAACTCGCGACGCTACGACGTATTATCGTGCGAGAATTGTTTCTCTCTTTCTCCCTTTTCTCTTTCTTTTCGTTACGCGACTTGTTTTCGTTCGATTCTGTCTCTAATTAAACGCTGCGTATATTGAAATGCGCTACGAATTCATCTCTCTCTCTCTCTTTCTCTTTGGGAGATATTCCACAAAGTCTCCGATTACGTTTGCGTCGGGAGATACCCGGTAATCGTGCCGTGTATTTACATCCACGTAACCACTCGGATAATCGTGCGTGAACGTAAAGATCACGCGAGTATCAAGTTTCATAGGTTTCGGTGTTAAGACGTTTCGTATATTCGTAACATTCCATGTTTAATTGCCATTTGTTTCGCGTAGAGAAACGTTGCGGGCGTTTTACCGTTCGCGAGACCGGTTATTTACTGACGATTAATCTGATATATATTATTATATAAATTATAAATTCGACTTGAGTTAATAAATCCGACGTTCGCAACGTAAACAAATAGATGATAAAAATAGACACACATAGTTTTATACTATGTGTATGTCTATTTTTATTATCTGTTTGTTTACGTTGCGAACGTCGAATTTATTAACTTAAATCGAATTTATAATTTATTTAAATTAGACAATAGATATTATGTCGTTGTGGATTCAATTGGAAGAATTGAAATTATTCCGGATATTTACAACTTTTATCATAAATTCTTTCAACAATATACATATGTATTTGTTCGTGTTTAAAAACTGTTTTCATTGTGATATTCTGCTGATATAAAATATTAATTCTATCATTGTTTTTTTTTTTTCTTTATTTTAATAAGGATAATAAGAATTTTTATAAAAGTTGCAAATATTGCCAACATAATAGAAAAAGTTCAAGCGGGAAATCAGTATAGTTGTTTAACTAATATCTCTCTCTTATTCTAATCAAAGTTTTCAATCGTATTGTATTTTAATTGTGCGATGTTTTTTAGCGATTATAAATATCTTGGATAATTCCTAACAAATACGGCACAGCCGTTCTCAATCCTTCGACTCGCGTTTAAATTCTTGCCGTCATAATTTTCTCAATCACGGACGAGAAAAAAAATGCGATTCGACGATATTATTTTTCTACAATGGGTACTCACGTGCTCGAGTGATTATAGTCATTTTCGTAGATATCTTTACACGACGGCTATTAACGTTGAATCGCCGAAGCACGAATGGAAGTCGATCGATATCCAGATGCCGATCGTTATCCGACGCGACTTTTCGAGCCCTTCGATTACGTGAGCCCCCTTTTTAACCTGTTTACGGTTAGAGAAATTAAATGGACACTTTCATTAAAACCGCGACTTTAAACTGCATTTAGATCGAGAAGGAGAAGGGCTGGTTATATAACGCGGGACTTAGTTCCGCTCCGTTAGAGGTATTCGAGCGCGCGATTTAAGAGCCATTGAAGAAACTGCGCCTGCGAAAACATTCCATAATTCTGCCTCAACGACACGAATCTAAACTTTGATATGCAATCGAGCAACCGGAAACGGGGAATTAAGATTCACCAGCGCAAGTAAATATATTTTGAATGAAATTGCATTCGTATATCGCGCAATATGAAAAATTAATCCTCGTCGTCGTTTAATCGCTGTAATAAATATTGGCGGCGAAAATAACTCGAATTTAAATTCAAAACGATCATCGACATGCAAGTCGCGGAGAGTCGTCTCTCTTTTTAATAACCGCCCATCGATCATCCGTCTAAATACGTACATGTCATTAATACTTAAGTAAATGAATTTATTTTCCATGATTAACAGGCGACGCGCGTGCGAGTGGAGGATCGCCCTGCGAGCTAAACGGACGATTTCGCGCCGAGCTCGGACGTATATACTCGCCGACAGGACGATGTCATTGTTGTGAGTGTCGCGTTTCCTTATACGTAGATACGAGAGTGCGAGTGAATTACAAGGACAGAAAGAGAGAGCGAAAAAAAAAAAAAGAGGAAGAAGAAAACGGAAGGACCAAGAGAGGGAGAAAGAGAAGTGCATCAAATGCGTGTGAAATGGATGGTACGCCAAAGAAAAGCGAAGCAGTGCTAATATATGGATGCCCATGGGTGGAACTTGGCCGAAATGTGCCAGCGTTACCATCACGCTATACCGGCAGCGGCGGCGCAGAATTCCTCGCCAGCTAGGGATCCCTCGGCTGCCATCGTGCAAGGCTTGTCAACCGCCACGCACATCGATCAAGCCAGCCCGTCTTATTCCCACTACACGTAAGTCAGAATCTCTTCTTTTATTTTTCTTTTAATCTCATATTTATTTCATGAACATCGACGCAACCGGCGTGCAATCAATTCGACGCGACACGTCTCTACTTTTCGCGCGAATAGAAATTTCGACTTTTCGTAAATTTGTAATAAACTTTGACGCTCTCGCAAACTTTTGTCGCAAATAGAGGGACTCTTTAACGAAGAGACGAGACCGCGTTTCGGCGCGCGTGGCCGGGCCCCGCGTATCGCGGACTTATCGCGGGACCGTCCGGGGCCCCGTTCTCTCAATTGTATCGCGTATATATTAATAACGATACGGCGAATTAGGGATAAGTATACGACCGCGCGGTCAGGCCCCCAGTAATCCTGTTATTAGCGCGGCGATTAGGGGAAGATGATCCCCGGGCAAATTGCAGGGGCGTATACCGCGCGTGTTTGGTTAACATAATCGCCAATCGCGCTATCGCCGATCCGCGCGAGTTTCTCGAGACGATACACATACATTACATGCGAAGCGATGGATGGCGTTTCTCTCAACCCCCTCGTCTCTCTGGGGATCGCGCGCGTCTCTCGTTTCCCTCCTTTTTAAATTTTCTTACTTTGTCTCCCTCTCCCCCTTTTCTCCTCCCCCGGGCTCGCGTGCTCGAGATGTTGGTGTGTTGAAAATCCATTAAATTGCAGTTTACGCTCGAGATTCAATGTTTCACTATCATTACGTCGTATACGAAGGCAAAGAGAATAAAAGTGCCTTTCTCTCTCTTTCCCTCTTTCTCTCCCGACCCTTTGAGACTGTTAAGGAGGAGGTTGAGAAAATAGCATGCGCACTGCCGGCATGCGTTTCTAACGTATCGTATAATTTCAGCTATTTCTTATCTCGTTTGCCCGCAGTCTTATTTGCTTGTCTTCTTACGGCACGTATTTGCGAGATGCCGCGAGAATTTCATGTTCAAAATTCGTCGTTCTTTACGCTTGCGCGTAAATATTTTATATATAATTCAAATCTTTAATTTAAATTTATTATAGATGTATGTGTCGCGCGCGGCTAAAAATTCCGCGTAAAAAAATACCGACTCAACTTTTTCGACCGCGATGTTTCTCTCTCTTGACGATGAAAATCAGCTTTATTAAAATGATTCCGTCCGGTTCCCATTTGTTGCTCCCAGCCGTCGCACGGATCGCGTACCATGTCATGTTATTTCATACACATGCACGCACGCACGTATGCATATTAGACATATTCCGGCAGATTTTATTCGAAATTTTAGCAAAAAAGTTGCAAAGTTTTAACTCGTAATTTATTTTTAAACTCTATTTTTTTTTGTCAAGATTTTTATAAAATATAAAACTTGAGTTAATTTTTTTAATCGAAAAAAGAAAAGTTAAACATATTTTTATCTTTGGTCAATCTGTGAATTTACGATGACGCGAATCGCTCGAAGATATTGGTCGCGAATTCACTTTAACACCTCGGTGCGCAATTCTGTAATAACGTCGATACGTATTCGCTTATTGATCGATTCTCGTATTTACGAGGCTGAATAAAAATTTCCAATCGAGTACGAGAGCGAATGAGATTGAGAACTTTTTCCAATCCAGCATCAATCGTTTTCATCTGCTGGCGATATCTCAGAAGTGGTTATTTCCTTTCGTTTGACTCGAGATAACAATATTAGTCGTCAATTTAAAATATCAGTCACACTTGTTTCAAGTATCCTTATGCTACGTGCCACGGCATTTTAATTTGACGTTTGGCGCAAAGGCAAATTATGTCACGCGAGCTTAACTTTTGTTCTCCCGCGTGATAAGAATTAATATCTCGATGCGGTTGTCGCGCTAGCCTACTCGACTCGGAGTCGAGGCTCAATTTGCAAACATCGATTATATCGGCGGAACGTCAATAATTCCGTGAACGACACGCTACACCATCCGGCAGGTCTCGGTTTTTCTCGGTACTCGATAGCTGGAAATAGTCCTCTCCTCGAAAATTGTCGAATTTTTTCTCCTCGAATTTTTATGACTCGGTCGACTTGATGGATTCGGAGCGGAATTTTTCAGCTATTTGCTTCGCCGCGTCTGACAAATGCGAATTCGAATAAGTACTTGTTATGGAGCGACGACGTCGCGCTTGACCCCTGGCGTGGTGCGTGTCGCTCACGACCATGTCATTTCTACGATTGCGGTGAGTCAGATCGGTGACTTGACGATTAAGCAATGACTGGCAGTTAATTACGGATTAACAGTCAGTTATAGTTATTTGGACGCACTAAATATAGGCGCTCAACACATTTATCGTCTTGCGAGATATTGCGTGTGAATATCACGACTGACCGATTCTTCATCTGCATTATTCAACCAAAGATTTTCTTTCGATTCTACATATATTATGTATGAGGAAATAGCACATAGGTTTTGTATGCGTATTCTTTTTTTTTTTAAATGCTATAATTATCGTTTTTGTAACGAAGAAGAAGATTAAGAGATAATAAACTTACATTTGCATCATAAAAATAGATTGCTGCAATAATGTAAGTTTGATAGCAAACTTGCCTCAAATGACGCCGCATCGAACGATCAGTTTTCGATTCGCGGATATGTTGGTAAACGCGTGCGAGTTATACGCGCGCTATCCATCGCTATTTTAGGACGATCGTAAATCTGTAGTGCATTAAATAGTAATAGCAATAGTAATTTATAGACGGATCAAAACTCATTTGCAGCTACGTAAATTTGCATCGTTGAAAACAATGGCCGTGTGGATTAATGAATTAAGACAATTAAATGTCTCGGCAAATGATACGGCAAATACCGGACACTATCTCTGATCCACGCTTCGTCGCTATGTTGATTACGAGATTAGGATTTTTCGCAATTTTCTTAAAATCAAAAAACGCGTTGTAGTATAAAAAATATTTATATACGAAAGATATTGTATGTGTTATATAAACAATTATCTCAATATATATATATATATATATGTATATAATAAATACTATTAGAATATTATTGATATATTATCAATCTGAATTTATGGGTTTCTTATTATTTTGCCTTGATTTTACAATACATAACTACAACGGAATGATTTATTAGCGTTCCCATAAACATCTCGTTTTAACAAATATCGCGACAAGCTATACAACGAGTATATCTGACGTTGATGCCGCTATTTCAGAACCTCTTTCTGTGTTGTTGAAGACGACAAGCCCGTTGCAATTAATCATTGATCGTGCATTTAATGATTCGTCAGAAAAAAAAAAAAAAAAAAGAAAACAACAAAAAAACATCTATGAAATATTTTCAAGGTATCGTATAAATAGATAATAATTCTAATGTATTTTTTTCACAGGCGTGTATGTTTGAATAAAAATTCCATCGTCGTTTTAAATATTGGCGTAGAATTTTTACGGACCGTTATGTCGGCTCTGTCGGTTCTGTCTCGACACAGTTCCGCAATTAACGCAACCGTATTCCGGGGATTAAGCGGCCGCTATATCCTCTCGAAGCTAGCCTGGGAATTTTCGTCGGTCGACGGTATCTCCGGTCGTATCGCGCGCGGACACCTCTTCCCGAGGTGCCGTGTAGAAATCTTCGATTCTTCCTTACTCGGTCGCAGGAAGTCGTACGTAATGGCTCTCCGCCGTTGGCTCTGAGGTCAGAGAAGGTATATACGAGACGGGATACACACAACGAGACTTTGCGGCATCCGTTCCGCAGCCTTAAACAACCCGTAAAGGTTTCGGGGATGCGCTTTCTTCGTTCTAAAATCTGAAACGCGCCGGAGCGTTAGTAGTGCAGAGGTGAGCGGCTGAGGTCGTCACTTCCGTTTACCAAGCGAGCCAGCATTGGGCGATTCGATTTAAAAGTTTAATCAGAGGCTTATAAAATTATATAGTCTCTGCATCTTTGTTTGCTCGCGCGGCGAGGAATTTCGCCGTCTCTTATAGTAAGGATTATATCCATATATATGAATGTAGATCGAAATTTGCATTTTCATTCGTATCGAACCCGTAATATCATCGTCGTTGATAATATTGTTAATGCAGCGCGACGCGTTAATAAACAAGCGGGGCCCGGTCATAACGGCACATCTCTCCCGTCGTCGTGCGATTTATTTATGATTGCCGCGATTGGCTCCACACGCGCATTTCGCGTATCGGCGCGAATACAGATCGATTCTCCACCCACACGTGTACGCGACGACCGCGTACGTAATGGCTCTGCTATGCGCGAGCACAATAGTATATATCGTGTACACACGCGTATACACGCGTGCGTGCGTTTCGTCATTTTTATGCGAATATATCGCGTCTCGTCTCGTCTCGTCTCGTCGCCTCGTCGCCTCGTCGAGCGATGCAAGGGTGTGTTCGATCAGCGCGATTATTTGAATAAAATGCGCCACTACGTCAGAGACGCGAGTTTCGAAAGCTCTCTCCATACTTCTCTTCGACAGCCTGATGTCCCCCTCCCTCTTCCCTCTTCCCCCTCGGGTCTGGCCCAGAAGGGGGACGAGGAGGGAAGGAATAATTTATCCAAGGGGGGAACAAGCGTGTCGTTGACGAAGAGAACGACTCGTACGAGTGCCTGCTCTGGTTGCCGAACCGTGCAGGACGCACCGGCGATTTTCCTTCCCTCTCGAAGGAGAGCTCCGCGACGTCGGAGATTCATGAGGCTCGACGGACGGACGTGCCGATTTAGAGGATCGCCGCTGTTGTTGTTCTTTGTCTCCTCGCTCGGCCGACTCTTACGTGCGCCGGAATAGCGTATCTGCTCCGGTAGGTCGTGGCTCGGCAGCTCTCCGAGCTATTTGTAACGTGGCAGGCGCGTCGGTGTGTGGAAGGATAACTGTCGCTTTTCCTTGACACGCTTTGCCGAACGTCTCGTCATCGTCGCGGAATAATTTTTTACCAACTTTTAGACCGAGATTTTTCGGAGAAGCGTATCTTTTTCTCTTCCCCCCCCCCCCCTCTCTCTCTCTCCATCTTTTTGGACAAACTTTCGATGGATGATCGAAATGGTTGTCTTAGATGACGCGTAATTATTGTGAAGTCAAATTGTACGGCGCAAAATTTGTTTGCGAACGTTACACGTTTGCAACGCGATGCATCAGTGCCCGACAATGACTCCTGGCGAATTAATATTTTCGAAACGACGCGTGCTCATTGCATTCGCGGTTGGAGACCCGTGTGCTTCCTTCAACTCGCGGTACAATCACCCCACATGAATCATTAAAGAAACAATGCTGAAGGCAGTGGCGTATCTATCGTACGCGTGGGTGGTGCAGCTGCGCCGACGCGGGCGAAACCCGGGGAATCTTGGCCGCGGGTTTAACGGCTTTTAATTTTGTATCGTATCTGGTATCGCCTCGAGAGGTTCCACGAGCTTTTTTTATCGGCGATGAAGAGTACCTTCACGAAGCACCGCGTTTCAAGAGCACATTTTGTTTACTCACATTATTATTACCATTATTATTATTATTATTATTATTACTACTACATTATTATACTTTTTGCAATATGAATCAGTTTTATGTCTTAGAATTTATAGCTCATCGCTTTTATTTCTTAGATTGGCGAACTTTTTTAAATATTTTTTAAGAATCGCCCCATATATTGTACAATTTTATTTTATTTAATCGCGATAAAATCGCGTTCTCGCCTTGGTAAGCCGTGTGATTGGTATCGGGCTTCATATATCGATATGTCGAAACAAGAGCGCGCGGCGGTTTTATCAGCGCGACCGATACGACGGAAGGCGAGCTAATTTCTCGCTACACAAGTACAAGGGGTGGCAAAAACGTGCGCACGTTACAGTTGCCGTCGTAAAGTTTATTGAATGAAAATGCCGCCGGTAGGTTTTTTGTCCCCGTGACTCGCAGCATCTCGCCGAACCGAATGAAACAATGGCCATTATATGGAACACTCGCGCGCGAACGCGTATATACATACATTCCGTGGAATATCGTACGTGCGCACGTGTGCATTACATATGTCGTCACGGCTTGCCTAGGACCAAATAGACGTCTCCGTGTATGTGCGCGCGCGCGCGTGCACGCGACAGACAGCTGTTCGTACCATTATACTCGGCGCACGGTCGCATAATGCCTTAAGGACAATCGTGGGAATTCCATTAAGTGGCCTTGAATGGTTCATTCATGTCGATCAACTCTTTTTCCTAACGGAACGGTTGACAGATCAATCGACCGCTCGGGCACGAGAGCGACCCACGGGATTTCACTCCGTTCGTTCAGCGTCTCGCTTCTTCGTCGATACCGAGAGAGAAAGCAGCCAAAGTCAATTACTATCGCGCAATCCGCGATACGAAATCGATATCTCGCGTCGCTCGCGATCATCGTGCTGGCTATCGGGTCTCGATAAGAAATCGAACGCCGTTCGAATCGATCGAAACTCTCCTCGCTTTATCGCCGTTCATTCCTTCGGAGAATCACGCTACATTATTTCGCCGCGTTTTTTTTTTACCACCGTTCGATAATCATTAAATATATGTTGTCAAGCGTCGTTAATCTTTTTGTCGCAGGATGCTGGATAATTATGACAGGGGTGAGGTGACACCACCACCGCCGGTGAGCGGTTACGGCGGTTCCCCCGGTCTCTTGGCACTTCATTCCTCGCTTTACGCGACTCCCACGTCGAGGGCCTACGACATCGACTCCGGCATCGATGGCAACGACAGCTCGATGCCCATCGATACCCAAATCATCTCGGTACGTGTTTCCGTCAATTTCGAATATCGCTTGTACAGGATCTCGT